ACACTGAAAACCCCTGTAGCTGGAGGAGAGGCCAGGAGGCACCAGGCTCACTTCTCGTAGCTGACTGGGGAGGCACTGAAGGCATCGGTGGGTAGATGTTTCAAATAAAGCACCACACCTGACAATATGGAAATACTCGTAGTACCAGGAGTGTCATTAATCCAGTCAATGGCAGGAAAGATGGTGGATCAATTAGGCCTTTTGACTCTTTGCCAGAACAGTGGACAACACTGACAAAGCAGTGTCCACAATCTAATAAAAGGCCGATATGTTGACAACCGAGCAGTAGTCTCATGACATTACGTCTCCCTCTCTCTGGTTGCTGCACAGGGGCGGAGCTGCTGGAGATCCAGCGACAGGTCGAGCGTCTGTCTGATCCCAGCTGCCCCGAGTCTGTCGGGCGTCTGCTGCAGCAGCGCAGGCAGGTGCTCCTGTTGCAGTTTGACACTGCTGTCAGACACCTCATCAGGTCAGTGTATGAGAGCAGTAGAAACACTGCCCGTCATACCCTGCTGTAGCTGAAACCTCCAGTCTGCCGCTGCCATATTGACTGTCACACACTCCTCCGGCCTTTTTGAGCTCTGGTGATTTTGCATTTTTCCCCACTAATCATAAAAAGTCATTTACACAGAACAGAGAGAGAGAGAGAGAGCTCAGTTTAGTGGCTCTTTCATATTGCTCCATTTTCTTCTTGCTCAAGGCAACGTACAGTTGACCTTTCTGTAAGTGGTTGTCGTACAGCAGCAGAAAACACTTATAAAACAATTGTTTGATGTAGTGTTTGGTCAGTTTCAACACATGATACTATCACTACATAATAGAGGTATAAAATACCACAGAAACACTTCTCCACTTCTCCTTTTCTGTCATGTTTTTCTCGTGTTCAGGGAGGCGTTCCTCTCCTCCGGTGATGTTGCATCTTATCAGAGTGTGAGTGACAACATGGCGGCTGCTCTCCCTCTGCTGAGTGACATTATTCAGACTGACGTGTTCAGTCTCACGCTGCCTGTTCCTCGACCTCTAGAGGCTCGCGGCCGTCAGGTTGGTTTATCACATCGCATCGTATCATGTCATGCACCTGTATCATATCATTTAAAAGTACATGTAAAGATGAGGGGACATATTTTTCAACGTGTCTCCTGCTGTTTTCCTCTGCAGGCACAGACCATGTATTCGTGGAGAAGTTTCATATCCTGTCATGGACTGTTCCCTCTGCATGTTTGGGACATACCATCCATCGAATACTGCATGCAGGTTCAACTCATTATATGTCATTTCACAGTCTTATTTTCCCTTGCTAATGCTGCGGCCTGGTGATGGCAACTAGCTTCTCCTAAAATATTCTTAGTTTGCAGATAACCAGTTTGTGTCCTGTGGCACCATCATCAGGAACAAAATCATTACTTTTACACAAGAGCTGTCAAAATGTAAAGGGGAGCTTGCCTTGAAATAAACACAAACTCCTGCTCCCCAGAGGATGAACCCTGTCAATTTCAAGCTCGTGCTCAACTCATGAGATATGTTATAGAAATCATATATTATCTTATATATGTAACAGAAAGATTGCCATGAAACTTAGTGACATCCTTTTGATTTAATAGCCTTTTTCTTTTACGCCACAATCAGGACAAACTGTAAAGATATCAGTTTCATATTTTTTTATTTTTACGCTTTTTTTGTTCTTGTATAATTTCACCTCAGACGTTAAAATTTCAAATCAGGTGTTACTTGAACCCTTGTGTTGTATCTGCTGTAAGCTCAGAGAGAGAGAGAGAGACGTAGAGAGAAACAAGCTGACAGACGAGGTTTATTCCAGATGACACAGAGGAGTTGTGTTTGTCTGCAGCTGTGTCTGAGCGGTCTGAGCGACTGCAGCAGACTGCAGGCCAACGCGGCCGTCCTCGGCGTGTCGCTGCTCATGGAGGACGTCCTGAACAGCGGAAGAGACGCGAGGCCGGTCCGTCTCCATGGCAACAAGGATGACCTTCTGCACGATGGAAAACCTAATGAAGTAAAAGACTGTTTATAAGTTGTTATGGCAATTCATGCTTAACCAGTTCCAACGAGACAGCTTGGATAATCAGTGAATACAAGCTGTAAATATTGTATCTACAGGGCTGCTCATGTTATAAACCCACACAGTTGTATTTGTTATAAGTCAGGTTTGTTTACTGTGTTTTGTCCTGGTTTCAGGGGGATGAAAGCCGCCTGGAGGCTGAAGTGGAAGAGGAGACGACGTGTGTGTCAGACTCCAGTCCTCCTCTTCAGGATCTGGTTCGAGTCCAGTCTGTGCTGAAGGGTTTCCTCCTGCTGACCAAGCAGCTTCAGGTCTTCAAGGAGAGCTGGGCTCGAAGACGTCTGGGCCCTGACATCTTCACTACGCCCAGCTTATATCAGCAGTTTGTGAAGCTCTACAGGTGAGAGCAGAGATGCAGAAGAGGTTTAGAAGCAGTGAGGATTGTAGTTTAGTTATAACATATGAAACCTGCAAAGCCATTTTCTCTCCTTGTTTCATTTTGTCTTTTAAGGCTTTTTAAGAATAAAACTGTTCAGGAATCAGTGAAATAGTCAAATTTAAAGACACTTAATATTGTAACATAACACTACTCGACCAAACATTCTCACCACAAGGTCCATTTAGTAGCTGCTCTGAGACTTTTTGCCGTGTCCTAGTGTTTTCATCAGCAGATGACATTTGCCTGGTTTTCATGAAATTGTAGTTTTTCCAAATTTCATTTTTCCTGAGCACTTTAAGAAGAATTTAAGAACGTTTAATGTCCTCAAAGAGAAAAAACATTTTTATTTCAGTGATGACTAGACAAACTCCATCTGTTGATAAAGGCCATGTAATATGATTGAAAGCTCCAGAACAGATACTAAAAGGACATTGCAGACAATCATGTTTTCAACTGCTGATCTACAATGAGCTGTGAATCTGAGGTGTAACACCACTTTCTAATAGCTGGTGGCTGTTATTTTATTATCTGAATTGGTTTTATTTGCTTTCCAGAGCTGAGATCTTTTACCCCAGCATGAGAGCTCTGGCTCAACACATGGGGAAAGAGCGAGGCTATGAGGTCGTGGTTTCTGGCAGCCAGTCTCTCCTGCCTCCTCCTGGAGCTTCAGAGGTCGATGTGAAAGCCTGGCAGGTACAAGTACAACAAATACACACAATTATGGCCTCATGTCTTCATAACAAGACCTCATTACCCTGTAAAATGTCTTCGTCTCAGCTTCACAGACTGCTGGAGAGCACAGAGTGTGACATGATCAAAGCAGTGCAGAGGAGGATCAACAGAGAGCTGACCCTGGTGCTTTCAGAGCGAACCCGACAGGATACCTGCCTCCCAACAGGTACCCAAAAAAAAACATCATCACTCCTCTTATACAGAGGAGAAAACGATTGAATGAGTTTTAGTTACAATAAAAAATATTCTGTGTGTTTGTACAGAGCTGTGGAAAAAAGCCCCAGTGAAGTACAGTTTGTCCCCTGAGCGGCCGCAGATGGTGGAGACGTTCATCCAGCAGCTGATGGAGGGAGCTGAGGAGGCGGAGGGACAGGTAGGAAAAAGTCATGATGATGCACAGTAACTGTAACATCTGCCTACGTGCTGTGTTTTAAAAATACAAACTTGTAATTAAAACTAACTGGATTCTTTATTTTGCAAACAAAATATAAATACTCAAAAGTGCAAGTGAAACGCTCATATAGTTATATTTAAATACTGTTAAGTCCTCAGAAGAAATACAGGCATTGTGTTGTATTTCCATTAATAACTATGAGTCGCCCCTTGTCAAGCTTTTAATGGTATATATTCACTGCTATATTACAGCAGAGAAACAGTCTTGTAAACTACAGTATGTAGCTGAACTACACACGTTCTGCGACCTTCACCAGAATATTTAAAAACGTTGTTGTACTTTATTATCTTCCTCTCGTCTCTCTGTTCAGATGCAACAGAAGTTTCCATGCGCAGTGATAATGTTCCTGAGCGTTTCCTCTTTCAGATGAGGCTCTCTCCGGATCTCCTCCAGCGGTGTGTGACTCTCCTCGGCTCTTCTCTGATGGAGCGGGAGCGTCGCTGCTTCCTGCTTTACTCACACTTTTACGAACAAATCCTGCAGCAGCAGACGCAGCTTCTGTACCAGAGAGAACAGGTACGTGTGGAGACCATCACCTCATCAAGGAATCAAACTATGGCAGTTTGCATAGACGTCTTTTATTGAAGTATTTAAAAACTAATGCTTCTATATGAAAACCTAACTTCATTCTTTACAGCCGACTGAATTTATCTTCTTTTCCTGTTTTAACCTCAGGATTTAAAGAATCTGAAGGACTCTCACACAAGCAACCTTCACACAGAGGTGGGTCCTGTAACTACACAACTACAATGAGTGAGTTCCTATGAATAAACAATGTCACTGGTACTGTTGTTGTTGTTCCACAGGTGGCAGGTTTATGTCGTGGGATGATGTTGGAGATCTCAGCCCTGCAGGCTCGAGTCGCTCACCTGGAAGAAGAAAAACGATCTCTAGAGGAAGAACTCGGTCTCAGATTTAAAGAGCGATACGACCCTTTGGTCCGACAGCTCTTCTCTACCTGCATCCAGCTGAAGGTGAGGAGTTTATACCACGCAATCTATTTTTTTCACCTCTTCTTCACAAACTTCATCCTCAGATTTAGAAGAGAGAGTTCATTTTCACATTCTTAATATTTTAAACTATACTTTATAAAATACTTTCTCTGAACTAATTTTTATTTTCTCTACAATTGTGTTTATTTACTTCTTCCCTCTAATATTTTGTCACGACTTATTTACTTTTTGAGGCGTTACAGAAATGCATTTGTCCTCTCCACCTGTCTGTGTCTCAGGCCAGACTTGATGAGTATCGCCGACAGATGGAGCAGGATGTGAGTGTGACAGTGAACAGAGTAAGAGCGGAGGGAGTGGACCGAATTATGAAGCTGAAGAAGAAATACGGCTGCACCAAAGACGACGATGGACTCACTCTCACACAGTCGAAGGTACAGCGCAAGACTTTTATGTGTGTAAATCATTTAATCATTTCGACATCTAAAAGAAATGTTCATCAAAAGAGAAAATGTGCATAACTTTTCCCGCACCCGCCGGTGCGCCATATGCGTTTGTTAGAAGGAAGAAGTCCATGAGTTGAAGCTGGAGAACAGCCGGCTGACGGCTCTGCTCTGTAAAGTGAAGGCTCTGAGTCGATGGAGGCAGGTGGTCGACCAGGAGAAACTTCACAGACGGCTGCTCCAGACTCAGCAGGTCAGCAGCAGGATGAAGGGAAATTCAATATTCAGAAATCAGATTCATTTCTGCAGAAAGGCAACGAGAGCGAAGCAGACAAATGTTCTGTTTTACTCTGTGTCTCTCATGGAGTTTCCACCCATTACTTCTCGTAATATCAAGCACATCAAAAGTAAAATCAAATACATCACAGTAAATATGTTAAATTGGTCACAACAAGCTTCATATTTTGACTGGAACTTTGCAATCAGTCTCTCATTGATCTTTTACAAGCTGTTTTCATTTCATTTATTTATTATTAATTAACTGATTTGAAGTGAAGGATAATATTTAACAAATCTTTTTTTTTTTATGTACTATAATTTCTAAAATATATAATTCTTTGTTGAAACATTGTTTAAGAGAGAGTGATCATCATAAGAGCATCACAGTTGTGGTTGTTACCTGCTGTGTCCAGAGGGAGATTACCAGTCGCACCGAGGCCCTCAGGGTGAAGATGGTGGCAGAGGAGGAGGTGGTTTTCCTGCAGGAGGAGCTGGACGCCGCCCGGCAGCTGCTGACCTGCTGCCAGGCCGAGTGCAGCCGCACCAAGAAGCTGCTCGGCAGGAAGGTACGTGTGGTCTCATCAACGCTTTACCGCTGCTCAGATATGGACGTCAACTGGAGAGGAAGTTACATTTCTGCTGACTGTTAGAAACTCAGAACTGGATGTGGAGAGAGCTCTGCTGCATTTTACACTCCTGCCTGAAAAATGAGTGTAAATGTATCAATACACCAACCTGTTAACATAGACATGACAGGAAATATAACTGATTGTGGAAAGTTTTTCAAGTATATGTATCCAAATGATCTTGACTTTAAAGGTACAGTCCCTCTCGTGTTGAGTCTGGCCTTTTTTTTGTGGCCACAGAAATCAGGAAGGTTGTCTTTAAAATGACCGTAGGCTGCAATTTTATTTTCTGAAGTGATTAATCTACCTATTATTTTAGTGATTTATTTTAGTTTATTGTTGGTCTGTAAAATGTCAGCAACTTGTAAAACAAGGTCTGCGACATAGTGTTGATTTTAATGTCTTGTTTTGTCCAAAACTGAAAAATATTCAGTTTACTATTATAGAAGAGTAAGTTGATGAAAAAATAAGGACAGCTTCCTGCAACAGATAACAAACTATTGATGGATTATTATTATCACAATGGTTGCTCACAGACCGAGGAGCTCCAGGCGGCCAGGCATCAGTCGGCACAGGAGTCGCGCAGCAGGCAGGAGGTGGACAGTTACCGAGTGCAGAGCCTGGAACAAATGAGAGCCGACGTGGAGGAGAGAGACCGACAGCTCCGAGCGCTCGGCGAGCAGCTGGACAGAGGCGGCAGGATGAACCAGCTACAGAGACGACACAGCGCCAAACAGATCCGACAGGTCTGTGAGTGATACTTATCACAGTAATGTGTGTGAGAGTGATACCCAAATAACAACAGACTGCACAGAACAGTGTCTCTCTACTGTCAGACATAAAACACATTGTCACTGTCCTGTGAAATCCATTTACCGTATCTCCAAAATTCAGACTTTTAATTAGCATGGTCCCTTTCGTCAGATGCTCCAATGAGAGTTTGAGCGTTTTATTTAGCTAGATTTATTACCCAATTTATCTGATACTTGATTTCACTGAACAGTGACGATATGGCAAAAATGGTAAAGAAAAAGGGCAAATACCTGTATTCTCATATAGGCCCAAGTATATTTTAAATCAATTAAATGCTGAAGAACCAAATTTTAATCAAAAAGCATGAAAAAAATGTAGATCTCTTCCATGTTTTATTGTTTAATGTGATGCAGATGCTCTTTTGTTTGAGGTTCGTGCTTCATAAATACACAGTATTTAGACAAAAAAACTTAAAAGTTTCATTTACTTATTTAAAATAATCTATTTAAAAGAACATAAAAGGAACAGTTTCATTTTGTGTCATCAGCACAACAGACTGCATAAAGAACATGACGTGGCCTGGCATCTACATTATTAAACAAAAATTCACAAGTAAAAAAAACAAAAAAATGAAATTGTGACATGATGACGGCACTAAAGGAAAAGTCATGTGATCACCAGAGTTATTAGGATTCATCCTCCTGGAACAATTAATATCTGTATCAAATTTCAATGCAATCAATATAATGGTTTTTAGGGTATTTCAGTCTGGACCAAAGTGAGCGGCTGAACGTGGAAAAGAAAGTAATAAAAATATATTTCTACCTGTGTGGATCTAGGTGAAGGGCCAGCTACATCAGGAGCGCTGCCTCAAACAAGAAGCCTTTGAGCAAGTGGCCAAACTAAAAAACCATGTGAACGACATGGAAGCAGCTTTCTCCAGGTGCACAACAGGTACGTATTCACAATTTGACGGAGTCTCTCGAGCCTCTCTGGACACCTCAGACCAACAGTCCTCTCTGTCCTCCGAGACTTTCTCCATTTGCTTTAATCAATTTGACCCGACATTTCACTCCTTACTCTCTCTGTATCTCTTCTTCCTCAGGCCGAAGCAGGACTTGTTACACGCTGTCAGTCGGCAGATTGAGCACTAGAAGTCCCTCAGCAGGTACCGTACCCACCACAGTGTCTTAATCTTACCTTCATCTCTGAGTAGTGAAATCATATCTTGTGAGTTACACTTTGATTTGCAGCTGTTCATGCGCTTCAGGAGTAAAATTAAAAAGGCACCAGATTGTCCTGAGACTCGTAACTTTTCCTGATGACATTTCAAATTCTATTACAGATTGCATTTTCGCCCCCGCAGTGTGGAGCATTAAAGCCCGGTCTCTGTTCTATTTCTGTCTCAGGTCTACACGGGGACAGTCAGCAGCGGTCCACCCTGCAGCTTGGCAGCCTCACACGCCACACCGCACTTCAGGACTTTGCTACAGAGCCAAGACACCGGAGAGCAGAAACAGCCAGGGGCCGTTCAAACACAAGAATAGACAGACCCAAAGCAGTGAGTGGGCCTCAGAGGCACACAAGCAGAGTGTGTTTAACTGAGTTCAGATAAAGTTTAAACTCCTAACAGTGAAGTAGTGAAGTGCGGGGAAGAGGACGACACAGTAAATGTTTCGGAGCCTTTGATCAATGTGTCAGGATCTTCAGCAGCAGATAGTTTGCTCAGTCGTCATGGGATTGTTCATTTAAATTCAGTTGTTGGTGAATTACTTCCGTAAAAGTGAGTCTATAACTTTAATTGAACTGTGGCCACAAGTTCCAATTACAGGACGATGGTAAACTTTAAATTGTAGTGTAACAACAGCAGAAGTGGAGATGACATGAGTCTGCTCTACTATTCTACTACTATTTAAAGCTTTCTAAAGATCAGCCTCCTGAAGCTGCTGGTCAAACCAGATCAAGTAACACTGTGGCTGAGCAACGATTTGTCCCATCACTTAATTGTGACAGGAAGATTGTTATTCATTCTTTCAAAAGTTACAGCTTCACTTTCAACTGCCCAGAAAAAGAAAATGTAAACTTGAGCAGCTATTAAATGAAGCTTGTAAGATTGTTTAGTTAACTGCTGTTTCTGAGGTTAAGAATGAACGTCAACGCATTAGTATTAATTATCAGATACATCTAGTGTAGAAAAGACACTTTAAAAGCAAAAGTAATAATCTCTGAAATAGTCATATTATATCCATTTACATTACACAGTGTCTTCCCTACCGTTGCCTTCCAGGGGCAGGCCGTCCCACAAGAAACCAAAGGACAACAAAAACTTAAAAAAGCTAATTATTTTTTTGGTTTACACTTTATTTGTATAGTCTACCTGCAGAGAGTTTACCAACAATTAGTAAACCACTTAATGGTTAGGGTCTGCGAAACAGTTGAATTGTTGAATCTCAACTAATAACCTATTGAAATATTACAAATACTCTGGTGGACAATCCAAATAAAGTGTTACCTAATCTCTTGTCTCTTGTCAGCTCCGCCTTTAGGGTAAACACTGTTGTATACTGATACATTTAATTTTAGTATTGCCTGGCTCTGTCCGTTTAAAGAGGTTAAGCAGTGAGCAACAGGCACTGTATATTTATAAAAAACAAGTTGTGTTTTACAAGATACAAACTGTAGCTTTTATAATGAAGTAACACAGTAAGAGTGTTGTTGCACTGTCCTTGGATAAATACACAATCAACATCCAAAACTGTCTCTTTCTCTTTCAGGAGACGAGACGCCTGCGGATCCCGACTGCACAGATGCTGTTACCCGAGCTGTGAGAGGCAGTGAATTACCTCTGGGTATTTCATAAAGCCATAACAAGCATTTTTATAGCTTTTTAGATCAATACCTGCTATATATATATATAGCAGTGAAATCAGTGGTTTCATCTTTTGTCCAGTAGCTACAGTGTGAAAATCATCTGATGCTTGAAACTCACATCATTGTAAAATTGTGTTATAGCTCGACCGATATTAGCTTATTGCAGATATACAGTATCTATATATATATATATATATATATATATCTGTGTAGGTGTTAAGTAACATGAAAGTGCATGTTAAGATAATGAATGTTTGTCAATACATCATTATCAGATTTCCATAACTCTCAAATATCAATATCAGCTTTAAAAATAGTATCCAGTGTTGGTCGTTCTCTGTTGCAACCTGTTCCTTTAAAAATACTGATAATTTTGTTCACCCATTACTCCATTACTGATGTGTACAGTAGCAGCATATATCAGTTTGGATTCAGCATCAGATTTAAGTCCTCTGTCATCCGGCCCACGCCCGGCCCACGCCTGGCCCACGCCCGGCCCATGCTCGGCCCACGCTCAGCCCTCCTGCGGCAGCCCGGTGGTGTACAGGTAGGAGACGGTTCCTGCCTGGATCTGAAACGTTTGACCCTGGATGTGGTGGCTGGAGATCTGCTCACTGGTCTGGCTGATGGAGATGGGCTGGCTGCTCTGGCTGCTGATGTGAATGGCCTGGCTGTGCTGCTCCCGGCCCACCTGACTGACGGCCAGCTGCTGGATCGGCTGATGCATCACCTGCAGCTGCTGGACGGGCCGTTGTGCTATCTGAAGTGGCTGTGGAGGGCCGTGGTGGGACTGTAGCTGCTCCATCGCCTCTTTACTCAGAGTGATGACATGCATCTGCTCAGACTGGTGCGTCATCTGTCCCTCCAGCATGTTGACGGTCTGAACCTGAGGGGCTTGGTCCGCCACGGCGCTCTGAGTGACCAGAGCCACATTCGGCATGTGTCCTGACGGCTGGGTGAGGAGGGTGAGCCTTGAGTGGGCTTGTTCTGCCGTCTCGCTCTCTGTGGTGATGATGCTGATCTCCTGCTCCTGACCCGGAACAAAATTAATGTTGTTCACATCTCCCGTCACCACCAGCTGGATCTCCTGTTCAGAGCTGGACGGCAGCTGGTACTGCTGAAGCTGCAGGATGTTACGCACCTCCTCCTGAGGCGCTGCTGAGGTGTCTGCCGCCGCTGCGTCTGATGAGGCCTCTGTTGACGCTGCTCTCTCCTTACTGTGGGATTTGGTGTGAGTTTTCAGATTGTCTAGGCGCGTAAAGGAAAGGCTGCAGAAGGAGCAAGTAAAGGGTTTCTTTCCAGAGTGAGACATGACATGGCGTCTTCTCGCACTGGGGTCTGAGAACGATTTGTCACAGATGTTGCAGTCATATGGCTTCTCACCTCTGCAAAAGGAGGAACATAATGTCATTGGATGGAACAGAATTGTAAAGTTATACCTGCATTAACTGACTGAAGATAAACTTCTAGCTTCATGAATATACAATAGAACTTCAAACCCTCACAAGACAAGACTACACTATTGTCTATGTCAAACAGAAATGGGAGAAAGACTCTAGTATCTGAAGATTGGAATGACGTGTGATAAAACCGGGTCAAACTATCAGTTCAAGGTCCTGGAGAGAGTTCTGTTGGAAAAAGCATAATATGATATTTTGTGACTCCAAAAGTGAATTTTAAGTGTTATCAGGGACAGGATGAATACAGGAGGCACTGTGGTAAAAAAAAGGCTTGACTGTTGGGCTTACCCTTTCTTTTTTCATATTGGCACAAGATTGCTATAAAGAAATAAAGAATATTTTTGGAACGGAAGTTGATTGCTCTTTTGTCACATTATGCCTGGATGGAAAAACACCACACAAAGTCATGGCTCTGGAAGAATTCCTCTTTAAAATACTATCACAAGAAAATGGCTGCAGCCAAACCATCCAGCAGAAGATATCTGTCTGGACAAACAAAACAACAATGGACTGCATGGAGAAATGATCTTAAACTTATATCCTATGTCAAATACTGTAAAACACGAACTACATAATTATATGTGACCAGAAGATGAAACATTACAAATGTAATTGAAAGGTTAAAATATATTTCTCACCTGTGAATTCTGATGTGAGTCTGCAGTGTGCTCTTGGCTGTAAAACACTTCCCACAGATCTCACATGTGAAAGGCTTCTCACCTGTAAAATAATATTTATAAAAATACTTTTACATCTTAGTTCCACTGTAATATTATTAGCTTCAAATCTCAGTTATTATTCGCAGATCTGTTGAAGCTTCTTCTGATTTTACCTGTGTGAGTTCTCAGGTGTTTTTTCAGCTGAGCTGTGTCCATAAACTTGTGATGACACTGAGCACATTCAGGTAACGATTTACCTTTAATTAAGAAAAGAATAAAATCCCATTATTCAGCCTTACGAGCGACCACGTTAGAGTTCCTTAATGGGGATTTGTTTTCTCACCTGTATGAACTCTGTAATGACTTTTAAGTTGCCTCTTCTGAGTGAAAGTCTTTCCACATTTATCACAGTCGAAGGATTTCTCTATGGAAACAAGTAAAATAAAAATATACAGTCGAGCAAGAGAGAACAAGACACTCACAGAGGATCAATAAGATCATCAATCTGGAATACACTCATCAAATGTCAGATTAAAATACAGAATAATTGTTCTATAATTAAATGTTTTATGTACATCTGTGATGGATGCATTAATGATGGGGTAAAGCTAATAACCAGACAATAACAGACACACAGTGGGGTACTAACTTCATCAGATCCTACCTTTGTGGAGGTTCATGTGTTCCTGTAGGGAGTGTTTGGTGCAGAGAGCTTTGGAGCAGACAGTACAAACAAAGGGCTTCTCTCCGGTGTGCATGCGCTGGTGAACCAGCAGAGTGTGCTTCTGGGTAAAACACTTCCCGCAAACCAGGCACCGGAAAGGCTTCTCTCCTGGGGGGGTGGGGGGGGTACAGGTACAGGTACAGGTACAGTAATACAATAATAATGAGTCATGGTTCATTTGTGTTTGTGTCAGAGAGACAGATGCTCCAACTTAACACCTCTTCCTAATAGAATCAATCATCTGTGATGGACGCTGCTTGTTTGTTAATTAAACCCTCGTCAGTCATAATTGAGCAGGTGTGACTTTTTCACTCAGACATTTACTGTTCACCTGAGAGCTGCCACACATGGCTGCATTAACATTCTGCATTAACCATGGGGGAAAAAAGATTATCTGTGAGGTCCCCACTGTACATGGCAGTTTATAAAGATGGAATGATTAGTTGATTGATTGATTGATTTGATGACTGACAGAAAATCAGCAACATTGTTGATAACTGATAAACTGTTTTGATCCATCTCTTTAAACAAAAATGCCAAAATTCACTCAGACAAGCTTCTCAAAAGGTGAATATTACTGAGTTTTCTATGATAGTATGATCAATTTTCCAACATATTTACAGTTAATCAAATTATGTAGACCCAAATAATATGGAGTAAACATGAATTTTGCAGCCCCTGAGTAGTTGCCACCTCACACTGCTGATTACCTGTATGAGTCCTTTGGTGAATTTTTAAAAAGAGGTGACTTTTAAACACTTTGCTGCAGTCCTCACACCGGGCCTCTGTGTTAGGATATTTCCTTTTCCTTCCCCTTTTCCCAGGCTCTTTGTTAACTGCTGTGTCTGTGTGGTCCACTTTGTAACCCTTGTATTTTATTGGAGGCCTGATTTTGCGTTTGCTCTGTCGGCTCTGGTACGTCTCTGGTTTGTAATCTGCATCGTCTTTAAGTAGGGAGTCAAAATGTACATTATCACAGTCCACATCTGCAGCCTGGGCTTCCTCTGAGCTTTCACATGGTGCACTTCTCCCCTCCGGCTCTGTTATGGGTATATCCACATTTTTCTTAGGCCGTCCTCTTTTGCGTTTGGACACACCTAGCGTCTCGGCTTTGTCTGCCTTTACCTCATCAGTTCTAACCCTTGCAGCAGAGCATGCGAGTTCAGTGAGCGCTTTGACAAGATCGTTGACCTCCATGAGATGAGCTGTGGCCAGGAGCTGCTCTGTGGCGCTTTTCTCCAAAGACACCTGGGCACTGTAGATGAACTCCAGCACTGTAGAAAACATCTCAGCTGCCATACCGCCCAGTTTATAGGTCGACTGGCTGATGTGATCTTCTGCTGTGAACATGAGGGAGAAGTACTCGCTGCTTGCTGCCAGCAGGGCTTTGTGTGCCTTGAAGTGCACGTCTTCAACAACAAAAGTGACATCACACAGTAGATCCCTTTTCCTGAGCTTGTTGAATTTGCTCAGGATGCTCTGCTTATGAGATTCTGACTGAAGGGCCATGAGTGATGAAGTCGTGTCTGTGGTTTTCTGAGACATCTTCTCAAAAACAATCGCCTCTGTTCCTGAGGAAGATAAAAAAGAATCTGTCAAAACGAGGCAGCAGTGCATAAGACTGAAAAGGAACTGAGGCACAAATGTCTTTACATGTGTATTTAAATTTACTAAATACATTTATTAATTTTGCCTTTACTATTTGCTCCATGTATAGTCAATCAACTGGAGCTTCAACTAATGATTATTTTCATCAGTCTGATTAAGTCTGATAAATGTTCCCTTTCAGGTGTCCATTCAATTTGATTCAATTCAATTCATATTCAGTTTACTGTCATATATGACAAAGAGACGCAGCAGAGAATTTGAGAAACGCACATCGCCACATTTGAGAAACTGGAACCTGAATATGTTTGATATTTTTGCTTAAAAAAAACTTATTGATTACTACATTACTTGTTGCAGCTCTATGTTAAAGAGAAAATGTCCTTTGTGGGAAAAAAGCAATTCTTTTAAGGCCAGACCTAATTATTACTTTCTGTATTGATCAATCTGTAGTCTAGTGCAGCAGTGATTAGTCAATTTATCTGTTAGTCAATCAACAGAAAATTTTACATTCATCAAATTTTATAATCTGTTCATTAATAAAGCCATGTATAAGAAAAAAAATGACAGCTTTCTGTTTGTATCATTGCAAGTGATTAGTGAAATTATGATGGGCATTTCTCCTATCACTATCCTATCCTATCCTAACACTACAGACTATAACTGCTTGCTTAATTGAAAAAATAATCAACAGATTGATTGATAACGAATGCACTACAGTCTATGAATGTCACAGTTCAAAATGTCCTTTAGGAGCCCAGGCTGGTTTATTCATGTTACTTATCAGAACAGTTGAAAACTCAGTTTCCAAGTTTAAGAAAAGGTAAGGGAAAAAGGAATTCTGACATTTTGAAAAGCTGGAAACAGGTGTTTGGTATTTCCCCTAATAATTGACACAAATGATTAATTAAATAACATTAAATCAAAATTATCAGTGGTTGATTGATTCAGTGTTTGTCTCAGTACTAGTGTTTGAAACAATACATTAAATTCTTTTTACATGACTATATCTTTTGGCGCATTTTTTCTACAACTGTTTTGTAGTGTCTGGCCCACTTGTGCAAAGTTTACCTGCTGATGTTTGCTTTCTAAACTACTGATAAGCCCTGCGCTGTGAACAACCTGACGGTTAGCAAACAAGCTAACTTACATCTTTTCAAACAATGCATCCGCTGCTCGCCAGAAACACCCACAATTATTAGAAACAGAAAAGTGCACCGCAAAAATGATGATGTACATTTAAGAAACATTTCTGTCACCACCAGGACCCGAACAGTTTGAAGCGCACAAACCTCGGTGTAATTTAAAACAGTGAGCTTTTAGGACCTTACCTTCGTTTCAGTCAGTCGTTGGACGGGGACGTGAATGTGACTGACTTATCGCGAGACTAGCGGTTCTGCTGATATACGCACGCAGCTGACCTTCACACACTGTAGAGCTCACAAGCTCGTGCTCTGTGAGCGGACTGAGTACCATTAAATGTTGTATAGATCTACTCTTAAATCTACTGCAGGAAGCGGCATTTAACGCTTTACAGTTAATGGTTATTCCTTTAAATAGTTAAAACAACCTGTTAGGAGAAAATATATATAGACAAGGGCTATTTATTATGCTGTGGATATTTCCTTCATTTAAATAATCGTTGACATTTCCGAGAAGAGACGATACTTTAGGACCTGCACCGTCCTACAGAGACAGAAGAAAAAAACATTTACCGACAGTCTTCGGTGCAGTGAATGTAGGAGATATCACTGACAGGTAGGTGAAGGAGTTTTGCCTCGACTGCATTTCGCTTTAGAAGAAGACACCGTAGAAATTGTGTTTCAATCAAATGCGTAAGTTTGGTCTTAGCTTTGGTAGGGACAGAACAATGACTTTTTATGCCTTACTACACTATGATGTTTTTATGACTTTTTGTGTCTTACTATACTGTGACGTTTTTATGACATTTTATGCCTCCTATCCCTGGGGCTCTACCCTTAGAAGCAAACACAAACATTCATCAATCTAACAAGGACCTCCAGATTTGTCCTAAATACCTCAGAGTCCTACATATATGTACAGTCAAAAATCACTTGAAGTCAAAGTTATATGCATGTAAAACAATTAATACGTCACACTATTCTATGTCTTACTAGATTATTGACGTTTTCATTACTTTTCATGCCTTACTTTATGATGTTTTTATGACTTTTTCTGCCTTACTATACAATGACATTTTTATGACTTTTTATACCTTACTATACCTTGACATTTTTATAGCTTACTATGCTATGACTTTTTTATGCCTTACTATACTATGACATTTTTATGACTTTTTATGCCTTACTAAACTATGAAGTTCTTATGACTTTTTAGGACTTACTATACTATGACGTTTTTAGGACTTTTTATTCCTTGCTATACTATGATATTTTTATACCTTACTATACTATGACAGTTTTATGACTTTTTATGCCTGACTTTACTATGACGTTTTTATGCCTTATTACACTATGACTTTTTATGCCGTACTAATGATGTTTTCATGCCTTAAAATACTATGACTTTTTCATGACTTTTTATACCTTGCTATACTATGACGTTTTTAGGCCTTTTTATTCCTTGCTATACTATGATATTTTTATACCTTACTATACTATGACGTTTTTAGGCCTTTTTATTCCTTGCTATACTATGATATTTTTATACCTTACTATACTATGACGTTTTTATGCCTTATTACACTATGACTTTTTATGCCTTACTATACTATGATGTTTTTATGACTTTTTAAGCCTTACTATACTGTGACTTTTTAATGAATTTTTTTATGCCTAACTATACACTATGACTTTTTATGCCTTACTAATGATGTTTTCATGCCTTAAAATACTATGACTTTTTCATGACTTTTTATACCTTGCTATACTATGACGTTTTTATGCCTTATTACACTATGACTTTTTATGCCTTACTATACTATGACGTTTTTATGACCTTTTATGCCTTACTATACTATGACGTTACCATGCCTTACTATAATATGTCTTCATTATGACCTTTTATGCCTTACTATACGATGATGTTTTTATGACTTTTTATGCCTTACTATACTATGATGTTTTTATGCCTTATTACAGTATGACTTTTTATGCCTTATTACAGTATGACCTTTTATGCCTTACTATACTATGATGTTCTTATGACTTTTTATGCCTTACTATACTATGATGATTGTATTACTTTTTATGCCTTACTATACTATGACATTATCATGCCTTACTATACTATGTATTTGTTATGACCTTTTATGCCTTACTATACTATGATGTTCTTATGACTTTTTATGCCTTACTATACTATGATGATTGTATTACTTTTTATGCCTTACTATACTATGACATTTTTATGCCTTACTATACTATGACGTTTTTATGACTTTTTATGCCTTACTATACTATGATGATTGTATTACTTTTTATGCCTTACTATACTATGACATTATCATGCCTTACTATACTATGTATTTGTTATGACCTTTTATGCCTTACTATACTATGATGTTCTTATGACTTTTTATGCCTTACTATACTATGAAATTTTAATAAATTTTTATGCCTTACTATTCTATGATGTTTTTATGCCTTATTATACTATGACATTTTAAGAAATTTTTATGCCTTACTATACTATGATATTTTTGTGACATTTTCATGCCTTATATACTATGACTATCTGACTTTTTATGCCTTACTATACTACGACACTTTTATGCCTTACTATACTATGACATTTTTATGACTTTTTATGCCTGACTGAACTATGACGTTTTTATGCCTTACTATACTACGACATTTTTTATACCTTGCCATACTATGAAGTTTTTATGCCTTGTTACACTATGACTTTTTATGCCTTACTATACTATGACGTTTTCATGCCTTACTATACTATGATGTTTTTATGACTTTTTATGCCTTACTATACTATGATGTTTTCATGCCTTATTATACTATGACTTTTTATGCCTTATTATACTATGACTTTTTCATGAATTTTTATGCCTTACTATACTATGAAGTTTTTATGCCTTGTAGCACTATGACTTTTAATGCCTTACTATACTATGATGATTGTATTACTTTTTATGCCTTACTATACTATGATGTTTTTATGACTTTTTAAGCCTTACTATACTGTGACTTTTTAATGAATTTTTTTATGCCTAACTATACACTATGACTTTTTATGCCTTACTAATGATGTTTTCATGCCTTAAAATACTATGACTTTTTCATGACTTTTTATACCTTGCTATACTATGACGTTTTTATGCCTTATTACACTATGACTTTTTATGCCTTACTATACTATGACGTTTTTATGACCTTTTATGCCTTACTATACTATGACGTTACCATGCCTTACTATAATATGTCTTCATTATGACCTTTTATGCCTTACTATACGATGATGTTTTTATGACTTTTTATGCCTTACTATACTATGATGTTTTTATGCCTTATTACAGTATGACTTTTTATGCCTTATTACAGTATGACCTTTTATGCCTTACTATACTATGAAATTTTAATAAATTTTTATGCCTTACTATTCTATGATGTTTTTATGCCTTATTATACTATGACATTTTAAGAAATTTTTATGCCTTACTATACTATGATATTTTTGTGACATTTTCATGCCTTATATACTATGACTATCTGACTTTTTATGCCTTACTATACTACGACACTTTTATGCCTTACTATACTATGACATTTTTATGACTTTTTATGCCTGACTGAACTATGACGTTTTTATGCCTTACTATACTACGACATTTTTTATACCTTGCTATACTATGAAGTTTTTATGCCTTGTTACACTATGACTTTTTATGCCTTACTATACTATGACGTTTTCATGCCTTACTATACTATGATGTTTTTATGAATTTTTATGCCTTACTATACTATGATGTTTTCATGCATTATTATACTATGACTTTTTTATGAATTTTTATGCCTTACTATACTATGACATTTTTATGAATTTTTATGCCTTACTATACTATGACATTTTAATACATTTTCATGCCTTACTATACTATGACATTTTACTACATTTTTATGCCTTACTATACTATGACGGTTTTATGCCTTATTATACTATGACTCTTTCATGAATTTTTATGCCTTACTGTACTATGACATTTTTATGTCTCACTATCCTACGACATTTTTATGCCTTACTATACTCTGACATTTTTATGTCTCACTATCCTACGACATTTTTATGCCTTACTATACTCTGACATTTTTATGTCTCACTATCCTACGACATTTTTATGCCTTACTATACTCTGACATTTTTATGTCTCACTATCCTACGACATTTTTATGCCTTACTATACTCTGACATTTTTATGTCTCACTATCCTACGACATTTTTATGCCTTACTATACTCTGACATTTTTATGTCTCACTATCCTACGACATTTTTATGCCTTACTATACTCTGACATTTTTATGTCTCACTATCCTACGACATTTTTATGCCTTACTATACTCTGACATTTTTATGTCTCACTATCCTACGACATTTTTATGCCTTACTATACTCTGACATTTTTATGTCTCACTATCCTACGACATTTTTATGCCTTACTATACTCTGACATTTTTATGTCTCACTATCCTACGACATTTTTATGCCTTACTATACTCTGACATTTTTATGTCTCACTATCCTACGACATTTTTATGCCTTACTATACTCTGACATTTTTATGTCTCACTATCCTACGACATTTTTATGCCTTACTATACTCTGACATTTTTATGTCTCACTATCCTACGACATTTTTATGCCTTACTATACTCTGACATTTTTATGTCTCACTATCCTACGACATTTTTATGCCTTACTATACTCTGACATTTTTATGTCTCACTATCCTACGACATTTTTATGCCTTACTATACTCTGACATTTTTATGTCTCACTATCCTACGACATTTTTATGCCTTACTATACTCTGACATTTTTATGTCTCACTATCCTACGACATTTTTATGCCTTACTATACTCTGACATTTTTATGTCTCACTATCCTACGACATTTTTATGCCTTACTATACTCTGACATTTTTATGTCTCACTATCCTACGACATTTTTATGCCTTACTATACTCTGACATTTTTATGTCTCACTATCCTACGACATTTTTATGCCTTACTATACTCTGACATTTTTATGTCTCACTATCCTACGACATTTTTATGCCTTACTATACTCTGACATTTTTATGTCTCACTATCCTACGACATTTTTATGCCTTACTATACTCTGACATTTTTATGTCTCACTATCCTACGACATTTTTATGCCTTACTATACTCTGACATTTTTATGTCTCACTATCCTACGACATTTTTATGCCTTACTATACTCTGACATTTTTATGTCTCACTATCCTACGACATTTTTATGCCTTACTATACTCTGACATTTTTATGTCTCACTATCCTACGACATTTTTATGCCTTACTATACTCTGACATTTTTATGTCTCACTATCCTACGACATTTTTATGCCTTACTATACTCTGACATTTTTATGTCTCACTATCCTACGACATTTTTATGCCTTACTATACTCTGACATTTTTATGTCTCACTATCCTACGACATTTTTATGCCTTACTATACTCTGACATTTTTATGTCTCACTATCCTACGACATTTTTATGCCTTACTATACTCTGACATTTTTATGTCTCACTATCCTACGACATTTTTATGCCTTACTATACTCTGACATTTTTATGTCTCACTATCCTACGACATTTTTATGCCTTACTATACTCTGACATTTTTATGTCTCACTATCCTACGACATTTTTATGCCTTACTATACTCTGACATTTTTATGTCTCACTATCCTACGACATTTTTATGCCTTACTATACTCTGACATTTTTATGTCTCACTATCCTACGACATTTTTATGCCTTACTATACTCTGACATTTTTATGTCTCACTATCCTACGACATTTTTATGCCTTACTATACTCTGACATTTTTATGTCTCACTATCCTACGACATTTTTATGCCTTACTATACTCTGACATTTTTATGTCTCACTATCCTACGACATTTTTATGCCTTACTATACTCTGACATTTTTATGTCTCACTATCCTACGACATTTTTATGCCTTACTATACTCTGACATTTTTATGTCTCACTATCCTACGACATTTTTATGCCTTACTATACTCTGACATTTTTATGTCTCACTATCCTACGACATTTTTATGCCTTACTATACTATGCCATTTTTATGAATTTTTATGCCTTACTGTACTATGATATTTTTATGCCTTATTATACTATGACTTTTTCATGATTCTTTATGCCTTGCTATACTACGACATTTTTATGCCTTACTATACTATGACATTTTCATGCCTTATTATACTATGACTTTTTCATGATTCTTTATGTCTTGCTATACTACGACATTTTTATGCCTTACTATACTCTGACATTTTTATGATTTTTTATGCCTCACTGAACTATGACATTTTTATGTCTCACTATACTACGACATTTTTATGCCTTACTATGCTATGAATTTTTTATGACTTTTTATGCCTGACTGAACTATACTTTACTGCTTTAGTATACGATGACGTTTTTATGCCTGATTATACTATGACCTTTTTATGACTTTTTATGCCTTACTGAACTATGTCTTTTTTACTTGTGATTATACTGTGACGTTTTTATTTCTTTTTTTGGCTTACTATATTATGATGTTTTTATAACATTTTTAACCCTTAATATACCATGACTTTTTAATAACTTTTATGCCTTACTATAATGTGAAATTTGAATTACTTTCTTTGCCTTTATATAAGTTTTTATACCTTATTATATTTTGACTTTTTATACTATGACATTTTTTTACTCTCTATGCCTTGCTGTGACATTTTCATGACTTTCTTTGCCTTAATACACTATGACGTTTTCATTTCTTACTATACTTTGACATTTTTATCACTCTTCATGCCCATCACCTTACTATGATTTATTTTTCCTTACTATACTATGTTGTTTTATCTCTTTTTATGCCTACCTGATAAGATGATATTTTATGACAGAAAGTGAACACAATGAGACCGACAATTCAGTACTTCAATGTGGCTGGTTTTATTCGTAGGACAGATCTGGCACAATGCACACCGAGGTCTCTCTCCGAGTAACAAAAGTTTGACTGCTTGTTTGGTGTTTTTGTTGATGTTGATCTGGAGATCTCCATGTCCATGGGGCCTCTTAGTTGTTGCTCGTCCTTTCTTCAGAGCTCCTGAGATCATTCTCCGTCCCAGAGGCTATACCCATATGAGCAAAAACAAACATTCATCGATCTAACCAGGACCTCCAGATGTGTCCTAAATACCTTGGTGTCCTACACATATATACAGTCAAACATCACTTATATTCTAAAGTCAAAGTTATATGCATTTAAAGCAATTAATACCTTACACTATTCTATGTCTTACTATACTATGAAGTTTTCATTACTTTTCATGCTTTACTATACTTTGACGTTTTTATGACTTTTAATGCCTTACTATACTATGACATTATCATGCCTTGGTGTACTCTGTCTTTGTTATGAGTTTTTATGCCTTACTATATTATGATGTTTTTATAACTTTTTATGCCTTACTATACTATGACTTTTTATGCCTTGCTATACTATGAAGTTTTTACGATTTTTATGCCTTACTATACTATGACGTTTTCATGCCTTATATATACTATGACTTTTTCAGGAATTCTTATGCCTTACTATACTATGAAGTTTTTATGACTTTTTATGCGTTACTATACTATGACGTTTTCATGCCTTACTTTATTACTATGACATTTTTACTAATTTTTATGCCTTACTATACTATGATGTTTTTTTGAGTTTTTATGCCATACTATACTATGAAATTTTTATGAATTTTTATACCTTACTATACTATGATGTTTTTATACCTTATTACACTGACTTTTTATTTCTTACTATACTTTGATGTTTGTATTACTTTTTATGCCTTACTATACTATGATGTTTTTATGCCTTATTATACTATGACTTTTTTTTATGAATTTTTATGCCTTACTATACAATGATGTTTTTATGACTTTTTATGCCTTACTATACTATGATGTTTTCATGCCTTATTATACTCTGACATTTTTATGCCTTATTACAGTACGACTTATGCCTTAATATACTATGACGTTTTCATGCCATACTATACTATGAAATTTTTATGCCTTACTATACTATGTTTTTTTGAGTTTTATGCTTTACTATAGTATGATGTTTTTATGACTTTTTATGTCTTACTATACTATGTTTTCATGACTTTTTATGCCTTATTATACTATTACTTTTTCATGAATTTTTATGCCTTACCATACTATGACGTTTATATTCCTTTTATGCCTTACTATACTATGATGTTTTTATGACTTTTTATGCCTTACTATAAGTTTATTATGAATTTTTATGCCTTACTATACTATGATGTTTATATGACTTTTTATGCCTTATTATACTATGACAGTCATGAGTACCTTTATTTTTAACTACAATTTGCTGGTAAACGCACCACGACTTTATGCAATGCAATATTTTCACATTGTTTAATAAGAACTTTTACTTAAGAAGGATCTGGTCTCAGGGATGTGCCTCACATACATTAAAGGTATTCCTAGCATATTCCCATACATATATATTTGTACATTAATGTAACATTGAGGAAAAAAAGAGAAGAGAATTCAAGAAAGTCGATGCAGCCTTTTTTCTTGTGGATAATAGTTGATTGAAAACATCATCATACTTACCTTATTTTACCTAAGTACTCAAAATTTCAAATCAGATGTAAATACTGGACCAAAAGGCATTTTATGACTGTGTGTGGCCTAGTTTACAGTGTCTGTTATGTAATGCATTATTACAAAGACAGCTCCTTGGACTGAAATGGAGCTTTGTTATTGATCCTTGGACTGTGCAGACAGTAAGGCTACAAGTTGTGGATTAACTTTTGAAGAGCCAGCCATAACAAAGGTTGTCTTGCAGCATTTGACACAATTCTCTACCCGCAGTTTACCTCCAGTCTGAGACGAAGGCCGGTCCATAATGAAAAGTGTCAAGGTTGTAGTGGTGGGAGCTGGTGTGATCGGATTCTCCACTGCTGTCTGCATCGCTGAGGCTCTTCCTTTTTGCTCCGTTACTCTTCTGGCTGAGAAGTTCAGCCCGGACACAACCAGTGATGGAGCTGCTGGGCTCCTGTTTGCTGCAAAGTTTCCAGGTATGCAGCAGTATATCTCTCAAAAAGGGGATCACATTTCAAAACATTATGTAGATGGTACAGTTTTATCAGGGTGAGACCACTTTGAAAGCATATATTCATTCAAATTCACCATCAACCTTTCAAGTAAAAATGCAGCACACATTTTTTTTACATGTGAAAAATGATTGATTTTACTGGATTTCTATATCAGATATTCCCTTGGAAAGACAAAGACGCTGGTTTAAGGACAGCTTTGATCACCTGTTGGCCATTGCTCAATCACAACACTCACCGGAGGCTGGAGTAATGCTGAGCTCTGGGTAACAATTGTTACATAGTGCCATAAAAGAGGCAACTATTCAGCCAGGTCACTACTAAAATACTGTATATCTGGCTATTGGTGATTTTCTTTTAATTTCCCTCCAGCTGGCAAATCTTCAAAGAGGAGCCCGCAGATAAGAAGCCCTTCTGGTCAGACTTTGTGATCGGCTTTCGACCCATGACCGACCGCGAGCTGAATCAGTTCCCAGATCGCAAGTTTGGTCAGGCCTTCACCACCATAAAGTGTGAATGCTCGAGCTACCTGCTGTGGCTCGAGAAGAGGTTTGTCCTCTCTTTATTATTAAACTGTCATGTCAAATTGTTTATACTTATTCACATTTCGAATAGGATGCTTGCTTCTTTAGAATGGTAAATTCCAAAAACAGGTTTTGCAGGTTACAATAATTCTATTATGTGATGTAGGGATTAACTTTTGTCATACCTGTTTTCATAAGATTTAGAAAAGCTGGAGGCCAAGTGCAACAAAGGAAACTCAACAGTCTTCAGGAATTAAGCAACAGCTATGACATCATCGTCAACTGCTCTGGTTTGGGCTCCAAACTGCTGGTGGGTGACACCCAGGTATACCCAGTCAGAGGGCAAGTCCTCAAGGTGGAGGCACCGTGGCTGCAGCACTTCATCAGAGATGGAGACGGAATGACCTACATCTACCCCGGCATACACAGCGTCACTGTAGGTGGCACAAGGCAGGAGGGGGACTGGCGACTACAGGTGGACGAAGGAGACACAAAGAGCATCCTGGAGCGCTGCAGCAGGCTGGTGCCATCACTCAGCAAAGCCAAGGTTCTCAGCGCGTGGGTCGGTCTGAGGCCGAGCAGGAGGAATCCAAGGGTGGAGAGGGAGCTGGTGCAGCTGCAGGGCCACCGAGTGCCTGTGGTCCATAACTATGGCCACGGGGCTTGGGGAGTTACGCTCGCCTGGGGTACTGCTCTGGATGCGCTGGGGCTGGTCAAACAGTGCCTGCATGAAATGCCTCTACAAGCTAAACTGTGAACAAATTCTGCCACTAAATTCAGTGCTGATAACACTCGTCTTTAAATAAATAATCTTTAAATAATAAGTGAGAGACAATTGCAGGGAGTTGAGAATCACTGATATACATCATATTAGCTACTGAAAAGTTACTAAATGCATTAATGTAGGGATTTCTTGTAGCTTTTCCATTTGTGTACATAGAAACAATTATTTTAATTTAATTTAATTAAATTATTAATTTAATTCTAATTGAATTTACTGCTAACAGTGGTGAACAATTCTATGTATGGCTTTGTCATAAAAACAGATTTCTTTTAAAGATTATACAACGCAGTGCCAGTAACTTGTTTGAGTGCAGAGATCTACTGTCAGAAAGATGAGCTTCATTCAAAGAAATAAAAATTTATTTATGTGAGAGTGGAAGGGTGATTAACAGTCTTGTTAGCATTTTTACAATTTATATTATCAAAGAAAACTTCACTGATTAAATTAATAAAATGAAAAATATTGTACATAAATAACTGATATGAAACAAACAAAAAACAAATGTCTGTCCGTGGGAACATTGTTCAACTGCTAAACTTTCTGTCAACAATTTACATAAAATGGGGTTAACAAAATATGAAATTTGTACCTGTGCGTCACAAAATGCTGATTGTTTACACTAACTGCAGGTAGATTGAATTAAAAAAATCTCTTTAATGCCAATGCTTTGTTTTGTTAATTTTGTTATTATTAAATCTGCTTGCCTATGAGTCATTGTAGGCCATTTTCACAGAAGACATTTTGACTTGTCATAGTAGGTAAAGCACAGGTGTTACTAATAACTAATTAACGATGGCCAGCCTTTAGTGTCCCAGTAAACCATGACAGTGTGACAGTGAGACACAAAGCACAATATAAGGACCCTGAAAGTGAAACAGCTAAATGGAATTCAGCCATCAATTATCTTATTATTTACACCTCTGCTTTTCCTACCGTGATAGGTCGAAATGTCTTGTGTGAAAAAGACAGTACTCATGAGTCCATATTTTACAAAAAAAAGAGGCAGTTTCCTGTACAGACTGGATACAGCTGAATGGAGAACATCATTCGTTTGCTTTTGTTTTGTTTTATGACACACTACGTCATTTGTTTGAGTCTTGAATAAACTGTGGTTACATTTCAGAAAGCAGTGGTTGTTTGAAAAAAATCTATTTCAAACATCCTGAAAAAATGATCATCAGCAGCAATAAACATATGTAACATATGTACACCTTACTTTACTTTTGATGCCAAAACCTTTTCAGGAAGTGGCTCCATTTTGACATCAGTACCCTGCGACTGGAGTCTTTCTTCCATCAGGGAACCCAGGTTTACTGAGTTCATAGATGTCTTCTTATGTCTTTTCATTTTCAGCCGGCGGGCCTCAGAATTGGCTGAAACTGAATAACTCCTCTTATCCTCTGAAGAGATGTGGTTTGTGTAGTTGTGCATGCAGTCAGTTTCTGTTAGTGAAGGCTCTCGGTGTGAGTTTGGCAAGGAAGTTGTACCTGCGGGATGATTGGACCTCTCAGCTGGCACTGTGGGTGGCAGCTTGAGGTGTGTGCTCTGTGTTCTTTCTCCTCGTTTAGGGGCAAACACACTTCCTTTGCCTACAGACGAAGTGCTACACACAGCACGGCTTGCTGTGGTTGAAGATTGGGAGGATGGAAACATGACCTTAAATTGTTTTTGAGGATTTATTGTTTGCTCTGTGCTCTCCTCAGTCTTGGTCCTGGGGGTCAGATTCCAGTCTTTAGGGTCAATGAGTTTTTTCTTCTGGTCTTTGTGGAGGCCTGACAGGGAGAGGCAGCGCCTCAGTGGCCCCGGTCCTGGGTTTCTTCTTAACTCCATGCAGCTGTGGCTCTTAGCAATGGCTCCACTAGGAAGACGACCTTTTGCTGAGCTTGGTAGACTTAAGCTGGTCTTAGGGCGTCTTATTGATGGTAAGATACAGGGCTGGCATCCTGGTTCACTGTGAAGTAAAGTCTTACGAGGGCCGGTGGAGGTCAGGATCCGGGGGAGGGCAGGGTGCTCTGGAGATGAGAGGTGGCTTGACTCAAAACCAGAGGAGGACCTGCTCATGGATGAAGAAGTCTTTTTGTCCCTTCCTGAAATAAACAAGTGCAGTGTGTGCAGATCATGCAGATGCCAGTCAGCTGTGATGTACAGTATATTCGACTTCAAGACAACAACAGCAGCGCAGTCAGTGTTGGAAAAGAGTGGCTAATGTGAGGAGATGCCTGAGAAAAGAAAAGGCTCAAAACAACATCTAAATGTGGGCTAAAAAATGAATGATGAATGAAAGAAAAGAAGCAAGCAGTCAAGTCTGGTAAAGCATGGAGCAATTTATTCCTCACGCTCAACCATGACAGAAGCACACGTCAGAAAATGCTGAGACTTCAGACCCTAAACCTGCCACACTTCAGTCAGAAGTGTTAGAATGAGTTTAACTTTGTCCTTTCACTGTGTTAAACCACAAAGGTTGTCTTTAGTCTGCATTTTAGTGCATTTACAATTATACAAAATGCCATATTTTAACAAGTATAATTATACTATTTTGTAAATATTTTAATTCTGCATTTTTCTGCAGCTTTCAGGCACATAATAAAATATTGTGCAACATTATATTATACTGGACTAAAAAAAATATACACACAAACAACAAAATCTTGAGAGAAATAGACTATACAAGTGTGGCTGATCAGACCTCGCTCTCTAAGCACATGACCTTTAGACATTCACAAAAGCCCTCATTTACAGTGAGCACATCTCTTTGCATTTTGACAATTTTTTTGACTGAAGCAAATAACCACAGTAAGAATGATATAACTATGAATAAAGCAAGCATTCACAGTAAATATGTACTGCAATTACCGAGAAGAGTTATTTTTAACTATTTATATCTAGAGTCGGTTTAAACACTCTTATCACACATCGGTTCAACAGTCACCAATTTCAGCAAACGCAAAAACCCACCACACAACTCACAACTGCAGATCTGTCTGTGAGAAGACCTACAAGCTGCACCACATATAGATTCTTCAAGGGTGTGAAAAAATGTCTTTTAAGGTCACGGTCCAATTTAAAATGAAGTAAGTGAACTTTCTAGTCCCATTATGCGTCATCTCTTCTCCATTTTGAATATTATATTGAGAGTAATGCTTGTAAAGAAAGGTAAGTGATGTCAATTCTCAAAAGCACTGAACAGACAAAAAAGTGACTGTAAAACAGTTTGATTCAATGATGCGGAAACAGAAGACAGTATGACTCAGAGAAGAAGAAGATGCTTGGGAAAAAAAAAAAAAAAAGAGAGCACCAGAAGTAAATGTGACGATAGCAGAGTCTTTTCCAGAAGAGCATGAAAACTGAATTTGGTGACTTGGAATGCTCGAGCATCAAGAAGGACTGAAGACCACACGAGACGTTCTAGTGAAGGATGAGGCAGAAGTGGGCAGAAGAGGAGGAGGAGGACAGTGTTCACAGGCGAGTCAGACTGTCATTACCGTTCTCCAGGTTCTCGTTGCTCTCGTAGCAGCCCGAGTCTCGTGGGGAATCCCCCATGAGGCCACGCCTGTCCAGGAGCAGCTTCTCCTGTGAGCCTCCAGACTGGCTGCTGCGCTCCGGGTCGCTGCTTCCTGCAAAGCACAACACCACCAACAGGGGGCAGACAGTCACATCGTATGATCTCAAAAGAGAACGCTGTATGTGTTGTGTGTGTGTGGATTACTTCTGAAGACAGCAGGGGTGGACATAATAACAGATACTTCAAAATAACATTGTGTTTATTTTGTCATGCAGAACATTTTTTTTCATCTTTATAAACTCTGCAATATTTCTGTTCTATGTAAATATTATTACATTTGGCAGATGTTTGATTTGTATTTGAGAATATCCCTGTATCTCAGTAGTGCTCAGGTGAGATATAACACCCTGCTGATCACCTGACCCACCGTCATACTCTTGAAGCAGCTCCACAGCGGTGAGCAGCACAGCTCTGTGCTGGGAATCTCTAATGTTCAGCTCATCCAGGTCCTCCTCCTCTAGCAACTTGAATGTGTCCAGATCCTCATAGCCGTTAAAAAGGAAGGTGGGAAGATGCTCCTGTGGAGAGAGAAGGATGGGTGATGCACAAACAGATCAATAAAAATGTGTGAGGAATTCATTTGAAGTGTAGATGAATAAATAAGCATGTTAGAAGGTGTAACTTAATTTAACATTCAGTATTTTTCTCATAGTCTTCAAATTACAGATGTTCTGCAAAAAAGAAAATAATTGTATTTCCAAAAATGTTGAGCTATTCCTTTCAACAGAGCTAAAAGCCATCACCCTCTTGATGATGTGATATTAAGTTTTTTCAGTACACAGAAATCTCAGTAATAATTTTGTTTATTAAAGATGAATCTATGCTATTGTTTATGCCAAATAAAATTCCTCCATATGTGTGTGAGAGGGATTTTGATTACTTTGAGGTTGATGCGATCAAGCAGCTCCTCCACAGACGTGGGTTTGGGTTGCCGGGCCCTCCTCCTCCTGCGTGTCTTTTTAGGCTTCACCTCCTCTTCATTCAGGACATCCACATAAATGAACTTGAAGGTACCGACTTTGCCGTTGAGCATCCCCATCCATGTACCCATCGGCGGCTTACTGATGATGTCAATGACATCCCCGCTCTGAAAAAAAAACAAAAAACAGTGAGACTCGAGTTTCTTAGAAGATATCATCACTAGGTGTTGTATGATTTATTGGGTTGTTACAGTGGCCAAACCTTCAGTTTGAGCGAGTCAGTGTCATAGGGACTGGGGGTGAAGTCAGTATGAACTAGAGCACGTCCACAGAAGGGGCCGCGGTAAGGCAGCTCATCCTCTTCCCCGTCCTCAGACTTCACACTTTCTCTGTTGCTGTTGGAGGAGTCAGTGGTGCCCACTGTCTGACCACCTACACAAACCACAACAGAACAATGAGCCGCTTCAAAACCACAAGTCTCCGCGGGTCTCTTGGTATTTGAGAATATTTTTGACGTCTTTGACTCTGACAGAAGTGCCAGATGTTACAGTTTTACACAGAAAGTTTAGACTACCTAAAGCGATTTATTGTCTTTGAAACATTTGTCTGATAAACACCACACATCTGGTGTTCCAAGGCCAAGTTCAAACAAACACAAGAGCTTTACTTGCAAGTACACCCAGATCTGGCATGCGCGCGCACACACACACACACACACACACACACACACACACACACTGTAAACACACAGACTTACTCATGGAACTTTGTCCGCTGAGGGAACTCCTCAGGCTTTCTACAGACCCTCCTGGCTTCAGTTTGGGTTTCTCGAGAGAGTCTGAGTCTATCTGAGGCGAGTGAGGGCAGCTGGACATGCGGTCTGGGCTTGACTAAAGAAGAAAAGAAAATTATTACGTGTCACAACATCTTTACAACATTACTATTTGCACAATCCACAACAGTAAGACTGATAGATGCTTCTGTAATGTGGTGTAATATACTGACTGTACATACCTGTTCAGAGAGAGAACAGTGGTATCTCTTGGATATGTGTTTTCTCATCGTTTCCCTCACAGACTTGACTTTTTTGCCCAGAGAGATACGTGATGTCGGTGGAGACTTAACAGCATCTCTCACACCACCATCTCCATCTTTGTTCTAAATCACATTCAGAAAAGCAGAAAAAAAATGTGGCAAATAAACAAAACAATTTTAATGATTTGTTTTGATTCCGTCTGTGGAAATTCAGGATGTATGACTGTAACTTACAGTGTTATCGTTGTCAGAGACGAGCGCGTGCACTGAGCGGTTGGTCAAGTCAAATCCTCCAAAGCTACAAGCTCTCTGTGAAAAAACAAAAAAACAAACAAAAACATAGCATCAGGACATTCATGAGCAGATATGCAGAGATTGAATTAAAGTTGGGGGTTTCCTTCCTGAATTGACTGAGTTTTTAAACCATGTTAGCCACTATCTGCAGAAAAGCTCCTTAAAGGGCACCTTTGTATTATTTTCAACTATTTTCTACTCTATAATCATTTGGTCAAAAAAAAGTGAAAAATATCCATCAACTGTCTTGTTTTAAAAACCCATAATATTTCAAATTACTGTCACATAAGACAATGAAAAGCAGTAAATGCTCATAATTGAAAAGAAACACCTTGACCTATAAAACTATGCAATTATGAACAAAATGAAAAATATAATAATATGAGCAAATATACAAAAATAAGCATGTAAATATCAGTACAGGATGGTCAAGAAATGTAGTCAATTGCACATTGAACTAAAAGCAAGTGTCTAACCTACATCTCATATTGAGTTGGCCTTCATTTACATTTAAGTGGCATCAGTGCACGTGGTGGAGCAGTGCATGCTGGGCGGATTGGTTTATAGATTACTGACTCACACCAGTTGTGTTAGGAATTGATGTGGTGACTGCAGAATAAAAGGGATAAGAGAGGGTTTAATATGTGTGATGTATGATCAGTCTGTGTTATGACTGAGGCATTTTGGGACACAAAACCTCCCGTGCGTGACACCGTCAGTGAGAATTGTTCCAGGTGGAAGCTTTAAAGTTACTTCAACCTAAAGGTAGACTCTATTTCAAAGTAGCCAATTAAAAAGAGCCATTTTTTGTTGGCTAATTGAGGGGGTTGAGGTATGGGCACTAACAGTAACACTGACTAACACTGGAGGTCAAAAGATGTATTAATTCTACACAGAACAGTAGCAGAAATGATGCACAACTTGCCAAACAATGGTCCTTATGCAAAGGCTTCTCTGTACTCACCCCGTGGTGGCTGAGTGGGTTGAGCACACGGTGACGGAGCTCTCCATCAGTCACTGAACGAGCGATTTTGGGCTCCTCCTCATTGCAACCCTCCGTTTCAGAAAAAGAGGAGCCACTGCCTTCACCTGCCTCCCTCACCTCCCGTGTTACATTTGCCTCCTGATGAACAGGGCTCTCATTGGACTTGCTGAAAGCCTGGAAGATTTTCTGGCTGCTGCAGGTGTCCAGGCTGCTAGAGGAGGGGGAGGTGGTCAGGCTGTCAGAGTCCCTGTCGTATACGAGCTGCTCCTGCAGAGATGAAGCCAGGGAGTCCATGGGGCAAACTGCAGGCTTCTTCAGCACACCCGAGTACAGGGAGGTGCTGGCATCTCCGCAGAGAAGACTGTCCATGTTAAGGCTCTCTGGGCAGGTCAAAAGAGGGGAATGGAGAGATTTACATGTAATAAAATACTGAGAGACCAAATAAATTGTAACAGAATCAGAAAAGTATCAGGAAAAAGCAACAGCATGAAGCAACAGCATATCCTTAAAATATAGACACAGACTCGACAACTAGTGAAAACACATGGTAAATACTGTTATTACAGTGCATGTGCCGGGTCAAACTGTAATTAGATCCAGCACAATTACTGATATTTTCTCTAGACTCACATTGTCCCAAGTGCATCATTTCCTCCTAATGCAGAGTATGTTCTTACTGTAAACACCTGTTGGTGTTTGAATCTTTGCCTGATACACAGCAAAATATCCATGGACCTAACCTGCATAAAAACTGAAACTTCTCTCACACTTTTCATCAAGTAACATCACACAAAGTCTGATGGTGCTTTTAGTACCCTCTGCTCCAGGCCTCTTGGACTCATCAATTCTGATCAGCTTCTTCTTCACCTTCCGGGTCGAGTTGACCAGTTTATGGAGTCTCCTGAATGTAACGGATTCTTCCTGTTCATTGTCTGACAGCTCGCAGGGCTGATAGGAGAGACAAGAAAGAATTTTATTTATGGGAAACATTTCATCTGACTACAGAGCTTTGTAGTTATGGTAGAATAACACTGTGGGTCTGTTCCAGTTATAAAGCCTAATATTTGGGATGTGAAAAGACACTTTTGCTCTGTATAATCTGATGTAGAAGCTCACATATTTCAAGGTATCTCGTGTCCATTTCTAGTAACTTGTATGAGATCAAAAAGACATGTAAGCTGTGTACTTGCTGCAGATGCTGCTGCAGGTACCTGCTGAGCCTGCTGTGGAAAGTACGTGTAGCCTAATAGAAAACTGTGGTAGGAAACCACAGTGATGACAGTAAAGACCATGCAAACATCTGTGCAACATGCTCTCCATCACAACAGACTAAAAAGGCTTTATATACGTGGGAAAAAAAAGAAATGCAAGCTGCTTGGAAACCACCTTAACCATCATTTGAAGTGATGGTGAGCGAAAATATTTATGGTACATATGGTTCATTTTATCTTCTGACCAAAACATAAGCGGTGTGTATATCCCAAGATACACGTCAAACCAAAAAACGAAAGCTGATCATCAGTTCAAAATAAATAATTTACAAGAAACGACAAACAACAAGAAACTTATTGTAAGAACATATGGCTTATAAATAACAGTAACAACAGGGGAGGAGGTAACACACATCACACAGAAAGAGAAAGTGACCGGAGAACACACACAGAGCAGAGAGAAATAGTCAGGCCATCCAGACAAATCTAAAAAATGTGCCCTGAACCTGAGCCCCCTAATCACCCCACCCGTGCATAAAAGAGCTGCGACCTGCATAACAGGGCCCTGTGCTGAATCCACCCGCACACTACAGCACAATAGGGGGTTAGCGCTTTGACAGCAATGAATAGAAGTCCGCCCAGTGCCCTGCAGTTGGGAGAGTGCCCTGAGCTGCAGGGCTTTAGAGGGGCCCCGGTTCATCGCCAGGACAGGGACAGAGGGAAAGAGAGAGGCGCTGTCAACAGCTCAGCAGCCTTGGCACTGGTAGATCAGAGTCCCTCATGCACAGCACACTGCCTGAAGTCGTGATCCAGCATTAAAAAGCAACTAAGGTGCCCTCAAACTGGGAGCTTTAAGAGACTTACGTTGCAGGTGAATGACTCATTTGTGGTGAGGCTGGAGGGATCGGTCCACTCTGTGGGATCAGACCTGCACGTCTGTCTGTTTTGTATCTCAAACTCCCTCAGCTGCAAAAAAAAGATGAACCTGTTAGCACATGATGTAGCGCTACAATACTTTATCTATCATCCGCCAGCTGATGTGCTATTTATCTTTTTACAGCTAGAACATATAACAGATTAAAAATATATTAAAACAACATCATGTTTTGACCATATGTCTACAGTGGGGTCCAAAAGTCTGACACCGCTTTCCCGATGTGAGAGTGGTCTCAGGTCAGGGAGTCAGGTCGTGACAAAGCAGAAAGGCACAGCAGCTGTAACTTCAACACGACAGCAGCGACAGGTAGGAGGTGGAGACTTCGTACCCGTGCCAAGGCTTCCTCTATTGAGATCATATTCTCCTTCACCATCATCATCAGCTGGATACGCTCTTCGTCACTCATGGTAATTTCACTGGCCACAAACCCAACGTCATCACCTGTCAGGCAAAAATTAGAAATGTCAGCCGACAGAATAAAAAAACAACGGACTGCTCTCACAAGGTTTATTATGGTCTCAAGAGAAAATATGTCAATGACTACAACAGGTTTTTGTGTTTTTAACTTAACATACCTTTTGAAATCTGACGCGTCACCCCTTTCTGCGACTTTCTGAAACTCTGCCAAAAAGACTTGCTCTTTCTCTTCCCATCCAATTTGCCTACACAATAAAATAATTCAGTTTAGTTTAGTGCCGAGAAAAAATACAACGTCTAAACCACCCACAAAATTCTCAGGGCAGGTAAACAATAACAGATATGTTATGTCCTAATTTACCATGTTTTCAAAAGCAGACAAGTGTAAAGGTAATATTCAGTATTTAAAAGGAGTCCCTCCACATTATTATTGGCATTATCAAAGAAAAATATCCTTTCAAATACACACACACACAAAAACATTACCTTTAAGGTGGTTCATTTGTAGGTTTAGTCTTGTGTAAAATAGCTTGAGAATGTCACATCAATCAGATTCTGCTTATAATAAAGCATGTAATATATTATATTAAGATTAAAATAAAAATTTTTCTTACCTCCTGATGATCCATCATCAGAGCTGGATTTGTGCACAGGAAACCTGAAAATCAAATCAAAATACTGACTTTGTTTGAAGAGATCAAATTAGGAAGCAAATCCCTGAACAGACCAGTACCTGTTTTCCAAAGTTATTTTCTTCATTTTCCCTGCTATCCCACCATCTCCCTCAACATGACTCTCTAACCTCTACACTTGCGTCAGATTGAAAAAAATAAAAAAATACAAAATAAAAATCACAAAAGCGCACTGTCCCTCATGACAGTAGCATCATAGTAAAAGCAAATCAAAGTAGTCAAACAGATGAAAAAGACTGGCTGCTCTTGGCTGATGAACAGAGGTCAGTGCTCTACGGCCATTGCAGGAACAATAGAGCCTTTTCATGTCCATTTGGGGTTTTGCAGCAACAGCAGCCGCTAACGTGGCCTCTGCATTCCCTGCACACTTTCACCCTCCCTCTTTCTGTCTGTCCGTCTGTCTGTCTGTCTCTCTGGACTGTTTGTTGTGTATAACCGTCTGTCTCTTACAGTCTCTCTCTAAGCTCACAGTTGTTGCTGGTGCAGGTCATATCGTCTACAGCCGAAGTGTAGGTTCCTCCCTGACTACAGAAACATGAAACACCTGGACAACTTAAAATTAAAATGAGTTTTTGTGCATATTTTCCCTGAATAGATGTGGTTTGGCATCTTGTCATAAGAACCTGGTAACCTGTCTAAAAATCCTATTTATTACTCTGGTGTCACCAAAGAGCAGTAACTGCATATATTCTATTGTTTGAAATGGCAGGGTGAGAGTTTAACAATATCTGTTAATACTGCCAAACCTGTCAAACACATATTGGTTTTATCTTCAGAAGGCCATGCAGCAGTTGAAAATAAACCCAATTTTTATATCACACTGCATTTATATCCCAAGGCCAGCAAAACACTATGATATTCAAACTATGGATCATATTCAGGGATATTGAGTGAAACAGAGCTCTGTCTTCTGTCTTCTAGGTTCTACAGAAAAAAAAAAGTATGTGGGAGAAGTAAATATTTGAAATATTTTGGCATCAAAATTGATCATTTCAAATCAAATTTACTCGTGTAACGTGATCCCACTTACCACAGTAAGTAATGACATTAAGACACCCCACATCCTATGATGAGAACAACATAACTTTGTGCCACTTGTGAATAAACAGATTAAAATCTTAATTTCAATGGAGACTTGAAAAAAATACAACTTTAAACTTGTCAGAAATCAATTTTAAAAAAATGAGCACTCCGAGTTCTTAATGTAAAAATAATACTGGTGACATCAGCTTCCTCCAGCAGTATGTATTGGTCCCACTAGGGGGAAGTGTAAGTTTCCTGTGAATCCTGTTTGAATACAGTTGTTAGTTTCAGAGGGAGATTTGTCTCTTGTGTTTGTGTCCAAGTTCTGAAGACAGGCCTGTTCATAATAATAAAATCAAGGATATTGCACAATTTTCAATGGTCTGTCTTTTTAACAAGCTTAATCAACTCAATATGATTCTATATTATTAGTCATCAACTAATTTCTTTCATCTTATTCAGCTTTCCAATGACAAAATATGACTAATCTTCGAAATCCTTCAAAAGACACAATGCAGGGAAGGAAGGAAGTTGAGAGGTGACACAGAAATGTTTCAGAAATGTGACTGGAGGGCACAAGGAAGCAGAGGAAACATCCGCGTCCACAGGGCGACAGAGGAGAAATCATAGTTCAGCTTCCAAATGTGATATGACTTAAATAAATAATACGTATGTTATCTGTGAGGCCACAACACAACACATCATCTGGACAAAACAATGGTCCAACATATTGTAGCAGTAAATATTTTAGTATTTACTGCTGCTAGTATCTAGAATAATGTGTTGGTGCTCTTGAAGATGCTTCTCTCCAGTGCTTCCCCTAGTCAGGGATTCTGGGCCTTTCTAGTGTCTGAAGTTGTAGATTTCCAACTTTCTTTAAAAAAAAAACAAGTTAGTGGGATGTTTTTACCTCCTCTCTATCTCTGGAGTGGATGTGGCACTGCTGAGCCCAAGGGATTCCTTAAGGAGATGAAAAAAGTGTGAATATAAATACATACAGAATTTTTAATTATGGTATTTTCCTTCAAAGGAAAGCAGAAAAATACGTAGCAGACAAAATAGTTTAACTAGACTGAATCAACTACAGTTAGGGGTTGACAAAAGAGGAATTTCAGGAACTTGTTATTTGTAATTTGTTGCATTTAAAAAAAAACAAAACAAATCTTGTCACTTGGTGGCAACAACACGCAGTCAGTCCCAGGGTCAGCTCTCTGTATCACAGTAAGTGAAATGCTAACTTTTTAGTCTTGTGTTTCAGTTTTGCTCTTGATAGTCATGACAAGGCAATTCCTCGGCTCTTATCAGCCTGTCTGCTGACGCACAGAGGAGGAAGTTCCCTTCTCCTGGGGTCTGACACACCGAGAGCTGGACACTCACCTGGATCTGAGAGCGGAGCTGCACAGATGTGGCCACTGAGTCAACCTTTCCCTGAAACACACAGGCAGGGGAAGTGGAGGAGTAAATTATAGTGTCATCATAACACAGAAATAGAAATGATGTTCAGCTCACTGAATCAGCCAGCCCACATTATGGAATAACACCGGTTAACAATTATGTGTACCTGGTTATGATCTCTGCAATTGCTGAGTGCCCGACAGGTGTCTGAACTTCAGTGAATTTATTTATGCCACAACAGATACAAGGTGAAGGAATAGTTCAACATATCAGGAAATACAATCTTAGATGAGAAAATGAATACATCTTTCATTTCTGCCTGCTAAATATGTACCTACAGCCAGTAGCTGTAGTTAGCTTAGCTTTGTATAAAGACTGGAAATAGGGGGAAACTGCTTGCCTGGATAAAGAAGTTATAACAAGCTAATTAGTGATTTTAGATGTGTTGGTAAGAGGATTCTGTCACCTTCTGCCAGACTCAGGCTAACTGTTTCTCCCTGTTTCCAGACTTCATGCTAAGCTAAGTTCTTTCTTCATACTGAATAAACAGCTGTAAGAGTGGTATTAATCTTCTCATCTAACTCAAATAAGCCTGTTTCCCAAAATGTCAAACCAGTCCTTTAAAACAAAGTGTGGCAACGCAGCAAGATGACAGTAGAAAGAACATCAATTATTTAGTGCTGAGATATTAGATTTTTTTGATGACAAAGAAAAAGACTGATAAGACTGTTTACCATCTCTGCATCATGCACTACTTTGCGTTTCCGTAGCTCCTCCATTCTTTCACACACGTCACTGAGGGAGGTGCCGTAATACTGAGAGTACTCCTGAGCCAGGTCATCAAGATTCCCCACCGAGCCATCCTGCAAAAGATAACAAGCATTATTCAAACACACACACACACACACAGATATGAACACAGGCCACAAGAGGAAAACGACACCCCACGGATGTTGAGCAAGATGCCAAACAGCAGGCAAACACCCTAAATACTGACCACTGTCGTGATAAGCCATTGTTTCAAGCTTTAGTACGATGAGCAGCAGCACAAACAGCCAGGAAACACTGAGATAAAGCACCAGGAGTGTAAAAGCATCAGAGACATCCAGCTGTGATATTGCCTCTGTCTTCACCACTTTGTTGTCTTCCTGCCCACTGACCCCTTCCACCTCCTCAGCCCTACTCAGACCTGACCCCCCGGCCAGAGGAAGCACAGTGTGACCCAGCCGCAACTCTCACTCAGCTCTCCTAGAGTAATCAGGAATCGGCTCAAGAGGCCACGGTTCAGTCTACGGTAAATCACAAGAGGCAGAGTCACTCAGTCAGACGAGTCTTTGTCTTGACTCCTCGATGTAGGTTCTTTTAGTTTCCTACCATTGTGCGAGCTGAAGTTATGGGCTTTTTGCCGTGTGGGAAGATGAAAAAGAGATAAATCATTTCAGAGATTTTTTTTGCTAAATTTTATGACCTAGTGACCTTTGAGACCAGAATTAACACATAAGTTTCCTTGTCAGGAGAATGGCCCTAGTTCTAGATTGAAGAGGCATTTCAAACCAGATAACTCAAACTGTCTGTCAGTTAAGACTTTACTTTGTCCGCCAGCCATGTGCTGCTGGGCAGGTAGTGTACAGAGCTTTTTCACTGGTAACGCCTGCCTACTGTTTCTGGAGATGATGCTTTGAGGGCAGTAACAGTGAACCAAAACAAGTGGAGCTGCGGGCCGCAAAACCACACCACTGTCACTAAGAGCAACGCTCTGTTAATATAAAGCTTTTGATCACAACTACTTTTAAGAAGTAATCCAATCCCTTATCCAAAATTAAGTTGTGTTAAGCCTCTTTTTTATTATCTTGGATTGAATCCTCCCCATGAAGTTTCAGGCCCAGTAAATATTTATTTCACCATTTTGAAAATGTTTAACTGACCTAAGATCCTATAATAAAGTCATATGAGCATTTTTCAAAAGCTGTACTAGAGCTGGATTAGATTGGGGAAAAGACAATGTAAATTATCCAAATTAATATAAAATGACAAATTCTCAATTTTTTCTCCATTTAACCTAAAATGTATTTATAACAATTCCACATGTACTGTAGTTTTTAAGGTTAAAGCCTGTGAATAATTTTTTTTTTTTTTAAATTTATGATCGACAGCATCTTTCTTTCTCTTTCGTATATATGCATCTGTTGATTTGCGTAGCAAGTTGCTGCATACAATTGCTCTTACAGGGATAAAGGAGGTAAATGAAGCAGAAAATAAATTAAGCTGAACTGAACTGAACTGAACTGAACTGAATTGAATTAGGTTGCCTGTTTTATTATTATTTTCTGGTGCTGTGTGAGTGAATAAACACATTATCATACACAAAGAACCAAAGACAACATGACCAATAAAATATACAAAGATTGTATTATGGGTAATACAACATGTATGACGACAGTTCCTCATCATGCTTGATCATGAGTTAAGACTGGACAGATGAACACAAGCTGTGTCTGATCTTCAGTAATAGCCACCCATTATGTCCATAAACCGTTTCATGCATTATTATTATTATCATTATGTTTCAGTTATGCCATACCCTGAAGGTATGCAAATGTTCCTGCTGAAAACAGTCATCTGCAGTGAAAACTAATACTGTGGGCTCACTTGTCTCGTGGCATGATAGACTGTGACTAGCTCAACTGTCCAGCAAAGAGAACCATTCATTTGGTAAATGACATGCCCCCGGGTCGAAAAAGGCCTGAAAAGCTGGCTGCTTTTCATACAGTCAAGAAATGAGGCTGAGGCCGACTGAGAGGCTCTGCACTGTGCCTGGCTGCAGCAGCTCACGCCTCATGCAGCCGCTGATCCACATAAACAGCCTATTGTGACACAGCCACATGATATTGCATTGCCCTAAGTGCTTATTGGACACGGTGCGTGTATATATCCCCGTTACAGATGAATGTAAACACTGCTTAGGCATATGGAAAACAAACTGACCTAGATGTTAAATCAAATAAACGATACGAGTTCCACTCTCATGCCAAGTCTTCTTACAGAATGGTAGTTTTGGGAAAATATTCCAGTGTGCTGTCTCTAAATTAATGGTCTCTAAGCCAAAACTGCAGCATGAGACATCAACCACAGAGGCTTGAAGAGGAGAGTGTGGTGTCACATTTCTCAGGCGCTGAGCATCTCATAGGCAGACAAAAGATCCACGTGCCCCGAGGGCCTAAAGTGTCTAATGAGTGTTTTTACAGTTTCTCTGTCCTGTTTCACCCTTTTAGGCAACCAAACCTGGGTCACAAAGTATCTGCAAATTACTTGTATGGCTTTATTTTGCTTTGAACCAGAGTTGTTTTAGGTAGTTCTGGCTTCAGATGTCAATACTAAGAGTATCAGAGAGTTCAGGCAATTAAAGACCATAGAGAATAGTTTTCTCCTCTCTGATAATAAATGTCCAAACACAATAAACTTTAAGTCAGCTCCATTTTTGGCCGACAGTCAGATTGTCAGTAACTGTATTCCACAGAATAGCACATCTGGACTGATGTAGCAGAGCAGCATATTTGCCAAAGAGGGCTCAGTAAAACTAAATCCACTGAAATGTATATATGTTCATTTCCCAGTTGATGTCCTTATTTCAGAAAGGAGTATCCCACGTTCAATACTAGGAAGCCATATCAAACACATAACACCTTGGCATTCATCTGTCAAGCAATCCTGTAACTTCATTTAAATGACTGTCACTGCATGTTATTAACATGTTAAAAACGTCATTGACTTTGCCATGAAAGACTACTGTGGATGTCTTAAACAGAGTATTGACTTTGATCACATGAGAACAAGCACTCACTTGTTCAAACATTTTCTACTAAATGAAATTCTTCATTAAAAGACTAAAACAGCATGCAAGCCCACAGGAAAAGCTGAAGATGCACTCATGAAGTTGTCTTTTGTAAAAACCAAGCTACATACATTGAAACTTCCCCCAATGAATCTTCAGAAAACTACCAGCTCTAACCATAGGACCACATTCCAGCACAAACATAAAAATACACTCACCACAAACAGGGATCTGGCTGCCAACAGTAGCTCCCCAGCACTAGCTGCTCTTCAGTTCCTCCACACTGCTCTAAGTGAAGGGCTTCGTTTTGAAACTTAACTCAGTGAGTGGAGGACAAGGACATCCTGAAGTGAATGGGAGGGGTGTCTGGCCCGCATAAATCATAGGGAGTTTGGTTGAGGGGAGGTTGGGGGGAGTTGCAACCGCACATGACGCTGGTGCTGCTGGGTGGGGCTGCTGTATTCTCTCCAGCTGCGGCTCACAGGGACTGGCTGACTCACATGTTCAAATAAACCACCACCTCTTAATGTGTGAGAGTGTGCCTGCATGTTTATGTCTGCAAGAGGGTTAAAGTGATGTGTCAGGCCAGTGTTGGATGTATAAGAAATGTTGAATATTGACCAGTTATGTCTCCCTCTGCTGATATGGAGGTTTCTCTCTAAACACAGTCTTAAAGAAATCTGTAAAGCTTTTTAATGAATTATCAATTTAATTTTTTTTTATTTTCTTTTAATCTGATTTTTTAAAATGTTTAAAATTGTCAATTTTATTGATACAAACGAATGAGAAGCAACTCGTAAAAAACCATTGGTCCATAGCAATACTAGTCAAAACTCCACAGGTTGCCTTTAAAGTTTCCCTACCATTGAATACTTGTGGAGGGTCATCCGGCTTGAAGGAACTGCTAAGCTAAAGGAATCTTATTAGTTTGGCACTTGAAATACTTTAAGCCCCAAAAATAATGACAATAATTATAATAAAGTTTATTTATATGGCAATTACCAAAACCAGAGATTACCATGTAGAATAATAATAAAAAAAGAACACATTCATGTTTGAGGAGCTCAGACTGTGGAGATCTGTGAGACTAGCCCCATACCAACTTGAACAAAGTGTCAGTATGGGGCCAGCAATGCAGCAATTTAGACTGGGGCCGGGCTGCAAAGTGCTTTAAAAGGTAACAAGTAAAATCTTAAAATGAGTTCTGAAGCAAACTGGCAGGCAGTGTAAGAACATTAAGGGGAGTGATATGATCCGTTTCTTAGTTTGTGGAGCCAAGTTGCCCTTTGGGTCTTTATCAAAGATAACATGCCCTGGTGAGTCTATTCATCATATAGGCAAAAAAAAAAAAAACCTTGGCAAACTAAAAAAAACATCCTGTTGAACAGACATTATGTCTCATTATGACTCAGAACCCTAACACTTGCAGCCTGAGCACCAGCAGGTGGCAGCAAATAGTTACTCTACATCAACAGAATCAGTTTCTTACTGATGAGTCAATGATAGAGGGCTGAAGGTAGTACAAGTGGAACTGGACATATTAAAGTGGAAACTAAATATTTCCTTTCAATCTAAACAAAGTGCAGTGATGACAAGAAATCCTCTGTGTACTAAGAAACTACTTAATGCTATCAACTTGTAACCATGACTTGCAGATGAAGTCAACAGATCTAATGGATGCAACAATAGGATTTCCCTCCTCTGTTCAGTGCTGTAGTGTTTCTACATAAAACACAAAGGCATCTTTACATATCCTGAAGGCATAAGCAAGCATGAGGGTGGTGACCTCATTGCTTATAGTATTAGTCAGTGAGATTAAGTGTGGAGAAATAACCCTCAGCATCTTCGTCTAATCGTGACTCCACTGCTTCTAATCTTCATCTTTAGAAACTGACCACTGACTCCAGAGCAGCGAGCAGCAGCAGCAGGAGGTAACAATACCAGTGTCAGATCTGCGGCAGGAGGCGGCAGATTATGCTGAGCTGCAGATGGATGGTGGAGATGGTGGAGGGGTACGTTGTGCGCACTTGT